AAAAAAACATGTAAACTAATTATAATTAATTAAACAAAAACAATAACTGATTAACCAACATGAACAAGTCATAAATGCTCTCGTCTTGGCTCGAGATCATTTGCTTAATGTCGTAATCGCCTGTCGATTGATGGTCACTATCACCGGATTTACTGGCCGACAGGTCCCGCACTCCTGGTTTAATTACACACATCATTATTGTGCCAAATATCGCAGCGCACGACGAGAACAGTATTATAAATGTAAACGTCAACCAAATTAAACGTTTATTATCCCCACGTTTCGTAGCCGTTATACCTTAGGTAATACCAAGTTTGTATTTGTAATTTGCTTAAAAGTTACCAAGTTAGTATTAAACTTAATAATACTTGTTGCCAGAGAGGTGACAATCAGTGGCACAATGATCATCATGAATGCCCGGATAATTAATTTTCCCGGTAGTCCGATATATACCAACACAACGGGATTTATAACAAACAGGGATTTTAATATGAATCCAAATATTAGTCCCAAAATAGCTGCCAAAATGATCAAAATTGAATAAATATTTTCTTTGCACCATGCCTACAAATAATTGATGGTTCATAATTATATTTAAACGTTATAAATTGTTTTATTATACGTTACCTTAAATTTTTCCAAATTCATTGTAAATTATTTATTAAAATTTAAGTTTATATAAAATAAATTATTATCCAATATATTAATTAAATATTTTATTAATAAAACTATTCAATTGTTGTAAATATATGGCACTATTAATCTTGTGAATAGTAAAATCAATTTATATGGATATTATAGTGACATCAGTCATCCTAAATAAATAAAACTTAAAAGTTACATGAACAGTTACACAAATGTTACATAAATTGTGTTACATAAAATGTTACATACATGTGCTCAAATATTGAGCTAGTTTATTTATAAACTGCAATAGTGTATAATTAATTCACAATAATGACAAACATTAAGTTCATATTAATCTAACATATAAATATATTAGGAATTTATTAAAATATCTTTTACAATACACGTTAAATATATACAAAATAGTATATTTGACAAAATTTTAATGTTATTTATTAATCATTTTAATTTATTTAATTAATTGATTTATAGATATATTAATCAATAACTGTGATTATAAAAATCAATGTCATTTTGGTTTTATAAAAAATCACAATTTTTGGTAACAGTACTTATGATGTATTTTGTTGTGTAATTCAAATCTGTTTTATTTTTAAAATAAATAGTCCTAATCAATGATCTATTCTTTATAATAATGTTAACATATAATACACAATAAAATCAATTGACATAATCAGCCAAAAAAACTCAAGGATTATTAACAAGAGTTAAAGCCTATAATCAGGATGTGACACAATCAAGAATCTAGATTAAATGGATTGGGTAAACAAATCATTATGAATTACACAAATCATATTAAAAAACAGATTTTCAAACTTCGTGTTACATAAATATTTATTCAAAAACGTGGTAGGATTTCCAGTGGCAACTGTACCCGACTAAAATATATGATTGCAAATGCAGTTATAAAATCATGGTTTAAACCATTTATTAATCTAATTAAAAATGTTAAACTAAAGTTGCATTGTAAATGTGTAAATGAATTTTACCAAAAATTATATATTTACATTCATTACAATCAAACCTAAAAAAAATATTCAATAGAATTTAACAATAAATTAATTAATTGTAACATTTTTTCCACACAATCACTGCCGACAGCTACACACATATTGTACACACATTTCCCAAAATAACCAATTGTACCAAATGTGATACAATGTATTTACTATTTATGTTACAACACACAAAATTTAAATAAAGTAAATTTTCTTAAAATAAAAGTTTTTATAAATTAATCAAAATTCATTTAAAAATTGAAAGTACTTTATATATAGTTAAGTTAACAGGTTTTTTAAATAGAAAAGTTTACTTTAAAGTTTAACTTCTTATGAGACTTAAATTTATAAAAGTTTGTAAATGAATAGAAAAATGTGTTGAAATGTTTATAAAATGTGTTTTCAATTATACGTTTTATGAGTTTTCGGTGTTATAGGCGTTGGCTATCAATAACTGGACTGAAAACATATGGACAACACATTGAGAGCACAACTATTACTACAAACAGTTCTGTATTTGAGACAACATTTCCAGAGTTGGAGTCAAACCAAACACATCTTTCAATGAAATTGTTGGTAAAAACAATAGTTTGTTAAATATTAATAAATTAAGTGATTTATAAATAGTGTTATTTAAGGTTTTATGTTTATATAAAAATGAGTGTTTCGTTGATTGAAATGAAGAGTAAATTAAATACAAATAATAGTGTTTTGTGTGAAAAGTTTACCACAATTATTAAAATCACATTTAAATTGTTTTATTGATGAATGAATTAATTGATGTAAAGTGACTCGACTTTTTAATCTTGTTTTGTATTG